GCCTAAAGAGGAGCACAGACTAGACCTTGACCATCCAGGAAGTGTGCGTTCTCTGGTCAGCTAAAGTACTGCACCTCCCAAGGAAAAGTGGTATTCATCAGCGTCAGTAGGCTAGATACATTTACTATTTCAGTTGGTTGATACAGTAATCCAAATTTGGCATTATTAAGCTCTGAGCTTAATAATGCCAAATTTGGATTTTAAAATGAGCCTCATTTGAAGCTTTGTGTTCATGTTTTCATGGATGTTTATGCACAGCATGAGAAGATGATCGTAGTGGCGCTTGGTTTGATAACACAAGGCCCATCCTGGGTAGGGGGTTCATGGTCCTATTAGTCCTAACAGTGATGCTAAAGTCTGTTAGATTAAAGTAAGAACAGGAACAGAAGAACCCAACTCTAAACAGCAGATATTCAGGTGCAAACTATAGAAGTACTGAAAGCTGCCTATAATATATGAATAAAATGAAGAAAAATAGTAAATAAATAAAATGGCACTCTTTTGATCTTGTTGCTGGCATATCCTCAAGACTTTCAGGGGCTTGTGTTAGATAGAAACATTTTAGCCATAAGGAAACACCATAATCTAACCTCTATGCAGTGCCATACCATGCAGAAAGATTGACTAAGATACCAAGATGTGTTCTTTGCCACCCCAAAATGAGTATTGACCTCAGCCTGGCCACCCCTATGCTCCGCTACTGCATGTTGCAGATAACATTGCTTGAAAGATGTTTCATATGGTGTAATTATGGTGAATTGTGAGCTATGGCTGCAATTTGGTTGGAAATTGTAGTAATCTGTCATGTAGATTCTGAATGTGGGGAAATGATCTCACCATCAAGACCAGATTTTTGCAAAACAGAAACCTCCTCCTCCCTTTTCTTTTCATAACATGTGTGTGGCGTCTATCTCAGACAGGTTTTTACTTCAACTGATCATGAATCCCGATGCCAGCAAATACAAACTCAGTCTGATCAATACAGACCAGGCAACCAATAAAAACCAGGTCGCACAACCAGTGACATAATCAAGGTCAAAATAATTCTTTTCACTGTGATTTTTAAACAATACAGATGTGCACACTGGTTCATACAATTGTATAGAGGTGGGGGCGTTTAATAACTGTCCAACGCTTTGCTTTTCCTCTAACACCATCTTCAGGTGACAATTTGTCCACACCAGCGTTTCCACTGCGTTTTGGAGTTGATCTCCGTCTACATTAAAACGACTGAAAACGCACAGCTAGGACCCGTTCAGGTACACTGCGCATGCCAGTGTAAACATTTTGGTAAGGTTTGGGTACAAAAATGACTGGGTAAGTGAAACATTGTGGTTTGCATTAAAATTACTGCTTTGTTAGGGTTAGGGGAGCTTTGCAGTTGTTCCAATAAGAAATGTGGTGAAAGTTTAGGAACAATTATGGCTTTGCGTTGAAAAAATGCTTGGAAACAATATACTGCTAAGCAGGGATTTTATTACCATAATAGTGTTGTAATTGCACTACAGAGACCCTCTTGAAAACAGTGTAAATGTAAAAAATGTAATTTTCCGTAACACCCAGAGGCTTCTCAGAGGTAATGGTCTGTTATTTTTTTTTAGCAGTAACAGCACTTTAAAAAGCCATTGCCACGTAAAGCTAATTCCTTTTGGATCTGCTGATGCACCAAAAGGAAATAGAATGAAATAATTAGAGCTATTCAGACTCCTTGTCTGCCGGATTTTCTAACAAGAGTTGAGTTTATATCGCTTACCGATGGAACAGCTAGAGAGGCCGCATAAAATGGGAAATATTGTAAGCTCAAAGCAGTGTTGTTCAGAATACATCCCACCCCTCATTTCATTCCTTAGAAATGTAAGTTATTTTGATTTATGGTCTTTTTGATCAACGGTGCATGGATGTTGGTTTACAGTTTTTGGCACTACTCATACAGAAACAGGTGAAATGTGTTCATTTTGAATGTTCCTATTTGCTCATCAGATTTTAACAGGTAAATAAACAAAAGCCAAACCTTTCTTCGTGGTCCATTTGATGTTACTGGCAGCTAAATTTCACATTCAGAAATGTAAATTTACCTGTAAAAATAACTTTGTTACTCTGAAATCTGTAAAAAATAAAAATAAAATAAAAAATCTGATGAACCTTTTTTTTTTAACAGAAAAGCTGTTAGAAGTGTTATTTTAAAGGCCTTAATCCAATATTTTATGCTGTATTCACTTTCTATTGTTCATAGTGTTCTTGTTCATAGTGTTGCTGTTTATGTCTTGTATACTTGGGATTGAATTAAATGATATTAAGTACTTATTCAGTTAGAAAATTCTGAGTGAGACACAGAAGAGAAAAAAAAAGGTGACTTGGTGGATTTGGTCCCAGGCCACTTGGAGCTTAAGCGTGACTATTTCTGATCAAAATTGCTTCAGTTTGTGTGTGGGCTATGTGACTAATGACTGTTGAGTAGGTTATAGCTGGGGGAGGCTTCTAGTGGAAGAAAGCCACTGCACCCCACAAGCTTTTTGGCTAATACATATTCTAATGGATTTTCTTTCTCCTTGATCTAGATTTGCAATTTTAATTAGCAGGTTGCCGTGGGGTACAGGGTTGCATGAAGAAATGGTGGTATGTTCGTATTTTGTTCAAGGGTTTGTTATGATAATTGGAGTTGTTATGACATAAAACCATCATTGCCACAATTCACAATGCAATGAACCATTATGGTGCATTTAGAGTTTAATCTCAACCTGTGACAAGCGTTTTGAAACATGTCCGTCTGTCATATGGTACATCACTAAGTAGTTTTAAAATTTGCTTTCCTGGAATTTCATTTTATCTCCACATTTTATTTCATTTTATCCTGGTTGTTTTTACATGTGTTATTTTTTTTATTGAGAAGCCCTTTCTCTAACTATTGAAATTTTGTTCAGACATTCATGATCCCCAGAAGAGCCCCACCAGTACCATGCATACAATATTGTAAACAGTTTGTGCCTAAATAGAAAAATAAAGGCTGTATAATATCTCCAATGATAATTTTTCACAACTTTGCTTAACCAACGCTATACAAGTAGCATAACATTACTACCTTTCTGCTTCCACCATTCTCATACAAATAAATAAAATCTGCAACAGAAATTTCTTTTGGACCTACACTCTCATCTAAAACACAGCCTCACAGAGCCGCTAGCTTGGGTATAGACTCTTTGTCACGACGGGTGCATGCAGGGTAACAGCGGTATGACAGAGAGAAGGCTGTCCAAACAGGCAAACAGATCAGACAAGGAGCAGGCAAGAATCCAAAGTCCAAAGAAAACAGGCAAAGTCCAAAACACACCAGACAAACAGAAACAGTGACCCAAGACATTAAGAAAACAGCAACTTAACTAACAATCTGGCAAGGAGGAACGTAGCCGCAGAAGGGGCCAGGTACCAACAGTTTGCTGATGACACCACCCTCTTTGGGCTCATCTCTGGTAGAGATGTCTGCCTACAGGTGAGACATTGACCATCTGGTGGTGTGGTGCAGACAGAAGTACCTGGAGCGCAACACTCTTAAGACAGTGGAGACGGTTGTGGTCTTCAGGAAGAAGCTGGACATCAGCCCAGCAGAGGATATACTTCCTGTGGCAGTTGAAGAAGTTCAACCCGCCAAAGACAATGATGGTGCACTTCTACACAGCCATCATTGAATCCATCCTCACCTCGACCATCTGGTATGCTGTTGCCACTGCCAAGGACAAGAGCAGTGTATCATCCACTCCAGAGAAAAGGTGGTTGGCTGCACTCTACCATCCCTTCAGGTCTTGTACACCCACAGGCGAGCAGGAAAGCTTGTGGCCGACCCCTCCCATCCCGGACACAATTTGTTCCAGACACTCTCTTCCAGTAGGAGGCTGCGTTCCATCAAGATCAAAACGTCACGCCACAATAACAGTTTCTTCCCATCTGCAGCTGGCCTCGTCAACAAAGTCCAGGACCCCCACTGACACTCATGCCCCCCTTTATTTCTCATTTCAATGTTTACTGATTACACTTTGTCAGCAATCAGTCAACAAAACAAAAGGTTATTTTTAATACCTCTACATAAATAATTAGCCTATCTATAAAAACTGCCCTTTGCTTTTTAAGATGTTAACAAGAAAAATATACAAATAGCTGTGGACAAGTTGATGACAAACATGCAATAAAATAACAAACAGCAGAATCATACTAGTCACAAACATTTCAACACATATAGCAGAAGGATAAGAGTGATGGAGACAATTAAATTAAACCTTAAAATGGATGTGACAAGTCATTACATTTGTTTGTTTTATATTTCATTACATTTCTGTTTATTTCATATTTTGGTTTCCTTTCCAGCTCTTTTGGGAAATATTGTCTATAGAGTGAATACAAAATAGAATATTCATAATGTATTTTTAAATAACAGATGAGGGTCATAGCCTTCAAATATATCACGGTATGCACCTGGAAGTGTCAGGATTTCCAAAATACAACCCAGAAGCAGACCGGAGACAGAACAGTTCAGGATGTTTATTGGTGTGGACAAAAGGTGGATGGAAAGCACCGTTGGGGAATGTATTTGTAAAGCACCTTTCTAGTCTTTTTGACCACTCAAAGCGCTTTTACCACACATTCATACAGTGGTAGAACAGCCAACAGGGGTTTAGTATCTTGCCCAAGGACACTTCGACATGCAGCCTGGGGGAGCCGGGGATTGAACCACCAAACTTCCAATTAACAGGTAACCCGCTCTACCTCCTGAGCCTCAGAGAACTAGAGCTGAGGTCCGAGAGGTGGGAGCTGATGGGCAGGCAAGGTAACAAGGATTGGGTCCAGAGATCACCAAACAAAAGCAGGTGCAGGTGTCTAGAATGACACAACGATCCAGTGGAGACTGGACGGCTGGAGGCAGTTTAAGAAGGCTGAGTATGTTAGGGGACGGGACAGAAAGGACCCAAACGCAACACTCAGAGGGAAGGAGGTTTTATTGAGGGTTCACGGAGGGGGCTAGGGAAGAGGTGAGGGAGGAGAGGTGGACGCCAGGGGACGCGGGCACGGAGCACGGAGGACCGAGGAGCCGGGAGGGCGCCGTGGAGGAAGCCCGAGAGGTGAGGACCGGAGGATGAGCCCAGCCGACTGAACGGATGACGAGGGTGAGTGAACCTGGGAGGGAAAACAGACAGAAAGACAGGGTTAGTGACCGGAGCGACAAAATGCAGGGAAAAAGAGAAAAAACAACGAACATGAGAGCCTGGACGTAGAGGTGGCACCGGGTAAGGAGCAACGACGATCAAGCGAGGATGGTGTGGAGAACCGGGGTTGAAATACAGGCTGGGATGAGGTTGATTACTGGCAGGTGTGGCAGGTTGACGAGGTGGCTGATGAGGTGCAGGTGTAGGTAGTTGGCTGGGCTCAGGAGCCGAGGGAGAGAGGAGGAGAACACAGGGAGGCAGGCAGAGCAAAACAATGGGTGAAATAAAGTGAGAAAGTAAAACCAGGACACTCACCGTCAGCTGGGCTGTCCCCACAACAGAGTAGATTGCTTGATGGCAAGCAGGTGAGTGATCAGGGATGGGAAGCAGGTGAGTGAGTGACCCAGGATCCGTGGACACACCTCCCTTTCGCCGACTGTGCAAGAAGAGGGGAGAACACAGACAGACTACACAAAAAACAAAACACACCAAGCATCCTGCAGTCACACCAACTAAATTGTGTGTGTTGTGAACTAAATTGCCCCTTGGGGACATTAAAGATATTTCAATTCAATTCAAAGGGGAAAATAATCAAAACTCACTCATTCACATACCAAGAGCCTCGGGCAGGGGAGTCAAGGCCTGGGGATTGTGACAGGAAGATGGTGGCCTGTCACATCCAGGTGAAGGGGTAACGACTGGTCCAAGTGGAGGCGTTGTAGGGATATTATTGTTTAGAGTGAAGGTTTGTGAAACTGGCGGAGACTCAGGAATGTGTAATTAGCACTTATGGGTCTTTGGCAATAAACATTCATACTCAACTGTAATATTTATTGTATTTTAAGCGTCCATTAAAATGTTATAAGTGTCATAAAGTAAAAATAAACACAAACAAAGCATTTAATTTGTGCCTAGTTAATATCATTTTTGTGTTACAATCACAAAGGAAATACAAAATGGTTAAATGGTAAATAGACTGTGCTTGTTTAGTGCATATAACTGTGAAGTGTCAGAAGACTAAAAAGTCCTCTTTCACTTTCTGATACAACTTGTCTGCTAACAACACTCACATGCCCAAATGTATAGGTCCACATTTCAAGAGTTAATGGTTGCCGTAATCTCTTCCTAGAGCAATTTCAATGGAAGAGACAGGGAAAAAATCCACTGTTCTTAGTTAGTCAGTTGGGTATTATTACTGAATTAATCTTTTAAGTTAGTTTCAATGCCCACTTTTTCCCTGCACAGTGTTTCATTGCCGAGCAACTGCATAGTTTTAGGGATAGTATCACAAAAAAAACACAGTAATTTTGGACTATTCCCAGTTGCTGTTGAAGATTCATATTAACTGCAATTGAACTTCGGAATGCAAATTCGCACAGATCTACTATACAAATTGCTGTAGATTTGGGCTTGTTTTGAAATAGATGAAAAAATGTGAACCAGTAGAAATGTCAGTGATGTATTTTTAGTCTCATTTTGATCCCTGGATGCATCACAGACTACAAATAGTTTTTAAAGTATAGTCTTTAAAATGATATGCTTTATACATCGGCGTACATCAAAGTTTTATTTTTCATTTTAAAAGAATACAATGAAACATAAGCTATTACATAGACCTGTGGGTATTATATTATACATCTGTATGCATAACCTAGACTAACATAATTATTTTTCTGCCTTGTTAAGTGTATTTTATTCTTATACCATAAACAGTGGAATTTCTTTCTTGCTAAAGTATTCACTTTCAATTCTATTCAATTCAGTTCAAACAACTTTTCAACAATTCAGTTCCAGTCATAAAAACTAAATAAAAACAGAACAACCACAATCAATCAAACATTTGTTACCCTGTCAGTGATAAAAATTTAAATTATTCAACAAAATATAAATAAACTTCATTTCCCAGAAATCTTGCGCTGAGGTCACCAGGAAGCTACTTGCAAACAGGCTTCGCTTATATATTTTACCAGCGTACACCGAAAGCCGCCCGGCTTTGGGAGAGTTAGCCCTCGATATCAAATCTGGGTACGCTGCCGTGTCCACCGTGTCGTAACCGTTTCTAAACAAACACGTCAAAACTGAACAGAAGACCTATGGGATAATTTATTACTGTGTTTTGTGGTTACACCCATAGTGACACCGCACATAACGTTATCTAACGAGCAACTTTTAGAGCAATCGTGCAGGGCAACGTTGTCGTTAATGGTAATGAGTAACAACATTGCTCAAAAAGTTGCCCCGTGTATCAGCAGTTTAACGTATGAGTTGAATGGTTTTCTGTATGCTTCAGGTTGTCGTGAGGCACGGGACACGCTGTTGCTAATGTTTAACGCTCCTAACTTCCTTCCGCCTACACTGAGCTCCAGTTTACAATCCTTCAGCAGGGTGTCCTGTCCTCTACGAGCAAAGGTAGGTTCAGCTGCGGACAGAAGCTACTTTTAAACATACTCTTGTATACTGATGTGGTCTAACAGGTGTTGGAGCTGCTCCAGGTGTTTTGTTGTGACGTCCACAACAGTTGCCTACTGCACATAAAATGTTTGAGCCAACTAAGTTAACATTTAGCTTGTTTTTGGTCAGACTTAGTGTTTCTCATAGTGATATTAATAAATTATTAAAATAAAGTTAGATATTTGAACACTTTGTACGGTGCCTCACGTCCATGGCGTGCCAGGACAGTTATGTATTTGTACAAAATTAGCTGGTACTTGTTAGCATGTGTGTTAAAGTTATAATTTAGACTGCTGGTGGTAGAACTTCTTCAGTAATAATGTCCACTTTGGACTTTGAAATTGAGTCGAAGTACAAATCTGCTACTTTTCTTCAGTCCAAAGTCTAAATACAGTGATGAAAGAAGTACAAAGATATTTTATGTTCTCATTACTATAGTGTAGACATACTCTGTGTTATAAGTAAAAGTTCTGCATTCAGAATTTTAGGTAAGTAAATGTAAAAAAAAAAAAAAAATCTAGCGTCAAAGTACAAAGTACACCAGTAGTACCACAGCTTCCTCATGCAGACTGGCCCATTTCAGAATAAAGGTCATTATTAACATTATTGATGCATTAGTGTGCACATACTTTCTACTTCATTTCTTTTGAATTTCTCTAATTTGCTTATCTTTACCTATACATAATGCAACATATTGTATTTTTGGATTATATTTAGTATTATTAATCTGAATCTACTAAGTATTTAGTAACCAAAGTTGTCAATTAACTATAGTGGAGTAAAAGTACAAAGTAGGATACAATGAAAATACTCAAGTAAAGTACGTAAGTAAATATACTTAGGCCTAGTTAATTCTTGGAACGGTCTAAATGTCATTGTCACAGCGTATACAGTACTTCTCAGGGGTTTGTGTGCTTTGTTACCATTTGTTTTCTGTATTGAAGGAGAGAAGTGTGCTAACCTTATCAGAGAAAATGAAAATTAGACCTCTCGTTTCGTGTCTAGCCCAAATGAGTAACAATAATACAAACCAGTTTTCTGCAGGGTTGCAACTACTTTCCATTAATGAATCTTTCTTAGTCTTCTAATTGTTTAGTGTATGAAACGTCCAAAAAGTGTCGAAAGATGTCCCTCACAACTTCGCAGAGCCAAAGGTCTTCAAATGTACCACATCACATGATGACTGAGAAAAGCAGTGTATCCTAACATTTAAAAGGCTGTAATCAGAGAATGTTTGATCCTTTTTTTCACCATTTTTGCTTTAAAAATGACTACTACAACTATTAATAGCAAGATAGTTGCAGATTGTTTATTTGTCACTCGACTAATTGATTAATCAACAAAAGTTTTTCAGCTCTTATTTGCTGTCACATATCGAAAAGTGGCGAGTTGAGTTGAAAAAGTGGGAGTTCAGTTTTGATACAATTATATCAGTAAAAAAGCCTTCAAAATGTGTCTTTTGTGTTGAAACATAGCAGCACTGGGAACAGTGTCCTGATGTGTGTGTTATAAAACATTTATTCAATTACCAAAATGTATTGGTTCTGTCTTCTGTGACAGTAAACTAAATACCTTTTGTGTTTTGGACTCTTGTTTGGACAAACCAACCACTTTTAAAGGTGTAACCTTGGGCTCTGTCTATGTCTAATAGGCATTTTTCACTGTTTTGTAACATTTTATAGACCTAATAATTGTCATGATGTGATCTGTAAACAGTTTGCTGTGGAAAACATGACGTTAGTAATAGTAATTCCTGATAAGATCACAGAATCCCACCCCCTCTGCTACTGGTGTTGCATTGTATTTTATTACACTTAGAGGTGTTTCCAATGTTCTTCCTTACAGTCCTTGCATCATGGCACTGGCTGGAGTGAGAGTCATTGAGCTGGCCGGCCTGGCTCCAGCACCGTTCTGTGGCATGATCCTTGCAGACTTTGGAGCCAAAGTGATCCGTGTGGACCGGACCAAGGTTGCCATGTCTTTGGACACACAAGGGCGGGGGAAACAATCTGTGGCCATCAACCTGAAGACGTCAGAGGGTGTCGCCGTGCTCAGGAAGCTCTGTGTCCAGTCTGATGTGGTCCTTGAGCCCTACCGTAAAGGTCAGACCAGCGTCTCTGTGAGAGCTCTGTAATACAGGATGGTTAGAATCACGCGTGGAGGAAGCATTTACTTTGTAAAAGCATTTAAAGATTTTTTCTCCTGAGTAAAAGCTAAAGAAACCAGATGGATAATTGTGGTTGTTTATGGCCAGAACATGACAATCACTTGCCACGGTGGATCATTTCAAAATGTACTTAAAGTATCAAAAGTAAAAGTACATGTTCTGCAGAAAAATGGCCCCTGTGAGTGATACAATGAAAATGATTTACCTTAGGTTGAACTTAGGATGAAACAACTTTGGACTTCTGAAATGGGGCCCCAACTAGAGAGAGATTTTTGTAAGGGGTCACAAGACAAAGGGGAACAACTGCTTTCATTTTTAACAATGCTGTGAAATTTATAATCTTGTCATATGCTATGTTAAATCTCAATCTGTAAAGTAACAAGTAACTGTATAAAGTAGCATTAAAATGAAAATATTTGTACCTAAAGTACAGTAGTTGAGTAAATGTTTCTTTCCACCACTGGTTAGAATTGGTGCATTTTAGTATTTTATTTGGATCTTACTATTATACAATACTAATATACACTGATCAGCCATAACATTATGACAACGGCCATGTGAAGTGAGTAACACTGATTATCTTGTTACCATGGCACCTGTCAGTGGGGATATATGTTAGTCAGCAAAAAAATGCTGTGTCCTCATTATGACCAGCAGGGGGTCATAATATTATGGCTAATTGGTGTATATCTATATATCCATGTAAACAAATTGATATTTGCGATTGGATGGGAAATTGAACCCTATAATCTTAGATGTGCTCTCTGAGATAATAAACACCCTTTATATTTAAATCCCAAAAGATCCTTTTGATAAGAATGTCATTAATTGTTGTGATGTGTCATTCAAAGACTATTTATGCATATTCTGATAACATCATGTTTCACAATAAAAAAATAAATCATTCCAGGATCAAAAGTGCTAAATTGAGGCAGTCGCCCCAAGGTTCACACTGAATGATAAGCAGACACTGATAAAGATAGAGCATATTATCATAGACTGACTTTCTTCTGACCAGGTGTGATGGAGAAGCTGGGCCTCGGTCCACAGGAGCTGTTAAAGGAAAATCCTCGTCTGATCTACGCTCGGTTGACGGGCTACGGACAGAGCGGACCTTACGCCACCGTAGCTGGGCATGACATCAACTACCTCGCCATGTCAGGTAATAACACACACACAAACGTTAATGTTTTTGGATTGACTATTTACACACCTTACATTGCAGACTGATTTGAAAGGCAAGAAATATTCACAAAGACAGTAGAGGAGGATAATTCACTACTTGTTGTGTGGCCCTTGTGGTTGTTTGCATTTGTTTTTGTCTATGTACTTACATATTGTTTTGACTCTGTTTATTCATGACCTTGGAAAACGTGAAAGAAAATATTGAGTTCCCGCACGCTGTCAACTCTTGAGTTTCAGTCTATAAAAAAATACCTTGTTGACAGTGTTCATGAAGTCACCCAAGAAATCACATACACTAAAACAATTCCAACCTTTAATGAACAGTGAAATAAATTACTCAGACATCACCACCAACTCACAAAATAAGGTCTGATAAATATACATATACATATGTACTTTATCATATAAATGGAATTTCATCTACAAAGATTCCCAACATTCTCATTTAGTAACTCTCATTCACAAACCAAATGACAGTAGAGCTGCAACAATTAATCAATTAGTTGTCAACTATTAAATAAATTGCCATCTATTTTGAGAATATATTAATTAGTTTGAGTAAAATTATTTGATTTTGGCATCTTAAATTTGATTTTCTTTACAGTAAACTAAATATCTTTTGGTTGTGGACAAAACAAGACCTTTGAGGACGTCATCTTAAGCTTTGGGAAACACATCGACATTTTTCACCATTTTCTGACATTTTATAGACCAAACAACTAAAATAATTGACAGATTAATCGACAGTTGCACTACTTACAGTTATACAACACTGTAATACAAACTACATAATTACAGGGTTTCCAGAGTCTTTTGTGGCACTCTGTTTTGAGATTTTCCTTTTTTTCTTACATATTGTGCTGGTTTTAGACTGATATCACTAATAAATGTAATGAGTTACACAGCCATTTAAGGGATTTAAATATTTTCACTTTAATGGTCTTAAAAACGTGCCTTTTTAAATGCTTGGCTGACACGCACGCTCCTCATTAGTCTGAACAATCTGTGTTTTGCAGCACATAAAGAGAACCTAGCCAGGCCTAAAAAAGAAATAAATGTAGTAAGGAAGCTGATGCAAAAATGCATCCTCACTAGACACAAGCAACAGCAATGAAGACTTGAGGCCAAAGGCAACATGTTGGGGTGAGATTCAGCTTTGCTGTAACACCTAAAATATAAAGACTTAATAAAGACTTGCATATAGATATAAAGCTTAGCCTGACTATTACATTGATAACAAACTTGTGGCAACTTTAGCATGACGAAACAGTGGCAGTGTAACTCTCATAACACAAAATAAGGTCTGATATGTATACTGTATGTACCACCCTATTGAGACCACTGGAGGGTGATACAGGTAATATATACATGTTGATTTGGCCTGTGAGGTAGATGCACTTTATGAAAATAAATGGAAACTATTTCACCCCCAAAGCTACCTATCCCCAATTTGTAATGCAAGCCCAAACCTCCTCTGACTGTGATGAAGCCCTTATAATGTTAAAAAAGACAGGTTTTCAAGAGAGGAGCTTTTATTTTAAGCTTTTATTTTGTCCTTGTAAATGTGACTGTATGCTTACCACATTAGTGGTCGATCCTTTCTTTCTTTCTTTCTTTCTTTCTTTTCACTTGAAAGAGTTCAACAGTGATTTGTTGCTTCTTTTTTTTAAAGAATCAGCTTGTATTTTAATATGTTTATATGCTTGTTGGTTATTTTATGTTTTGCATAAAGAATTGAGGAAAGGAATAAAATATGTAATGACTTTACTGCAAGTCTAGCCAAACATCAAAACCATCCGATCTTACTTAGCTTGACACAGGAATGCCCATCCAGCATGGAGCTAACATATAAACACTTGCTGTAAAAAGTCACTTACTCAGAAAGAGGGTGCCATCTCTATAGAAGAGATCTAACATTGTGCCCGCCGCTAAGGGTAACCACCCAAAGCCTTAAATGACTTTAGGCCTGTTGCATTAACGTCCTTATGAAGTCATTTGAAAAACTAGTCAAAGAAGAGCTCCTAGTTAAAACAAAGTGCCTTCTGGATCTTTTTAAGTTTGCTTACGGGGCCAAGAGGGGTGTGCAAGATCACCTTACTTATATAAACACCCAGAAGGCAGCAGGAACCACGGTAGTCTGCTTTTTATGTTGACTTTTCATCAGCTTTTAATACTATTCAGCCACATAGGCCTATGCTAGCAATGTTAGACAAACATTATAGACCGGGTTCTTGACTTATTTACTAACAGAACAGAGACTAAGGGTGAATGAGAAACTGTGACAGTTCAGTAGTTTGAGTCGCACATCCATTGTGCAGGTGCTTAAAAAAAGCAAAGGCCATTTGCTCTGATTATGCCCATCCCTTTATTTCAGAGTACAAACTGTTACCATCTGGCCTATTTTTAAAGGCCCCTCTGCTAATGGCAGAAAGAGGTAACTGCTGCTGTTGTTGACAAGTCCAGTACCTAAATGATTGTAAGAGTGGTGGTGATGATGAGACAGTGAAAGTGAATTATGCTTTTTTAAATCTTGAGGTGCAGTATACTAGTTTTGTTGTGTTGATCTTGCGTGGTGACACTGATGTCCAGAATTACAGAGATGACTCATGATTTGTTGATGTATATTACATCGAAATGGTCGTGTTGCTAAGTGATGCTGACAATATTCCATGACCATACTATCTATAGGCCCGGCGGGGTTATGGTGGACACTCACAGCCTGCTGCGAAGAAGCATGAATGACTCACTGTGCATTGGTGTAAGCCAGCCCGTCCACGCGTTCATGCCAACAGCCGTATGCATTTTAAAACCTAGATATATGAATAAATAAATAAACAATTTCTAGTATTTAACTAAATGTATATAAGTCAAAATGTTTACTATGTTTTTATATTTATAGAGCTCATACAGACCAAAGTAGAGGGACCAAATGAGAACACTTTTTCCGACACTTGCCACAGATAGTTTGCCTCTGTAGTTGGCCCAGGAAGTAGAGGAAAAGAGAAAGTGGAAATGTATATAATATCTTTGAGAAAGTTGCTGTAACTATCCAGTACTTTTCTTGTTCAAGGCCCTTTGCAGTATCTGTATGATAGCACAGACGCCCTGTGCAGAAGTTACTTGTTGGTTTAACAGAGTAAGCAATTATTTTGTCAGTCTAAAAAAATAATCTTGTGTTATGTGGTTTGTCACTTTATCAGAGCTACATTGTATATATTGGGAAAACAACATTTCTGTTCGCCGCGGCTGTTAACCTTTCCTTTTAAAGTGTTATTAAATGCCATCCCTCCCTGATTCATTCAGTTATCGAAATAATTACATTGTCTTTCACTTTCAGGGACAAGCCAGTGACTCCTTTGTTCTCCACTAGTGAAGCATCCATTTACATTTTGTGTGAAGCTTTTGTCTCCTTGTTGCCTTCACAGGCCTTTTATCCCGGCTGGGTCGTTGTGGAGAGAAGCCCTATGCGCCAATGAATCTGATTGCAGACTTTGCAGGCGGTGGTCTTACCTGTGCCCTGGGGATAGTCCTAGCGCTGCTGGAGAGGGCAAAGTCAGGTGAAGGACAGATCATTGATGCTAGTATGGTAAGCATATTGTCAGACTCCAGTAACCATGTACTGCGAAATTGAACCAGTGGCAGAATTCGCTAGTATATAACAGCTGCTCTGCAGAAAGTGTTATGAAAAGAGCACACTCACTTTCATAAATATGCATACATGTTTTTTCATTCTGTCAACAAAAACCAAGCTCAAGCAAATGACAATGGAGACGCTTTGCACACATGATTGTAGGCTGGGGTAAGTCCACATTCAGACTTACTACAGTAGTGTGGGTGTAAAGCTACAGGTACTGCTGAGAGGATGAGATACAAATGTACAAAAGGCCAAGTTAAAGACTTATAAAACACTCCAAATTAGTTTATGGCCGTTTGAGGCAAGGCTTTACAACTCCGAAAAGTAAACCTAGCAGAACTAATTTTCTCCTCTCTCTCTACTAGACACTACGAGGTATTCTGTATTACAGTGCAATACGTTTCCAGACGATGGTGCAGCACACTGAGGCAAACTTTGAGTCAGGATCAACCTTTAGTGGGATATGTGATCGGTTGGACAACCCTTAGCACATCAAAGTCTCTGAATCCTGCTATGTCTGACATCCACTGGCTGTTATGCAGCCGGGAGGTTACGAAGCAGAACTGCTCTAATGAACTCCTTTAAGGAGGTGGAGTTGTGAAACTTTCTAGCAGCCCCATAAAACTTCCTAAAAAGTAACAAATTAAAACATACAACTGGATGCATATAGTAGTTATCGCTAGCAGTGATGAACTTGAGAATTATCACCTGAATGTGCAGCTCCTTTCGGCTTTACAGAGCTTTATAGGAGGTTTCAGTACATTGTTTAGCTGTCCGACAACACTACTGTTTTGGTTCACTTTTGCCGCCCTAATAGCTTCAATTTTGGCTCTAGCAAGCAGCTGTTTAAAGCAAAATAGCTCTAACAACCCACTGAACACTACCTGCTCAGCACCCAACAGCAGACAGACACAGTTAGCAACTAGCTGGTGAACATAGTGGAACATTTAGCAGCTAGAGAGCCAGATACTTCCCTCAGGAATTGGTAGAGACCACAAACAGAGCTTAGAGAGTGAAACCTTCATCAGTTGACCAGAAACAGGACTCCAAGTCAATGATTATGTTGCTGTGTTGTGAAGTGCTGGGTGTAAATAAGCAACTGTTTGCTAACAAGTTTGCCAGATCAACTTAAAAGGTGAAATGTCACTGTTCCCAACAAGTTTCCACTGCCCCCAAGTGGCCAAAAAAACAAAACGGACTAGACACACATACAGGGGCATCCATGTGCAACACTGTGCATTCTCGGCTTTTGATTAAAGTAGTTGTAATATTGAAGCAAGCAATATTGTATGTTCATGCCAAAATAAAATGAATTTCATTTTTCACATGGAGAGAGCAGGGGGGTAGTGACACTAAATGCTTGCTTCCCACCTCTCTCTCTCTTCTCCTATTGATTATTTTTCTTTCACACCAGCTGAGTGACCACAGTAACTGGTCTGAGCCGTGTTTATTTTAATACAGGGGCACCTCTGCATTTTAATGGTTAGTGTGAGGCATGCTCGCTACTCACCAAAGATTGAAAGCATTAAAAGTCTTTGTTGTGGCAGTGGATAATTATGAAAAAACTGAAGCCCTGCCCAGTGGCAGAGCTTCTCTACTCCATTCTTCTCTACTGTACACAATTTGGTAGAAAAGTAGCTGAGCCATTTAACAAAAGTCCTGAGTTCACACTGAACATTGTTGTTACTTTATATATATATAAATATTTTACCCTCTTTGTTGATCAGGCTGTTATTGTTTGCTCATATAAATGAAAGTTCATCAGAGGTTACATTGACTGAATTGATTGCAATCAACAGTAATAGAACTGAAGGTGGGTCATTCACGTACTGTAGCATGATTTTAACCTGAATGGTAATATTCTCATTGTTCCCAAGATTTGACTATGGTGGCCAATTATATCCCCACATAGGAAATTAAATCAACTGCATCATATAGATTTAGAGATAGTGTTTGATCAAGGTTTGTTATTTATTCAGCAGCAGCAGCAGCCGCAGCAGCAGGGACAGAAATGGCATGTGCATATATGGAGTCTTCAATACAAGATGAGTTTAGGCACCTGGTGGTTTATACAGTAAATGTCAGCAGAATATCCTTTGTGCAGTATTTTCACAGGCTTTGCTGATATGCTTAATATTCAACAAGTAATTGCCACATGTTATTGTGATAGCACGGCATTCGACCTGCACTGTGTATTTTTTTCTCGGGAAAGGTTTTGCTGGACTGATGCTCAGAGGTATGCTGCTGATATCTACTCAAGCACGCCAACTTCTTCTATGTTATGAAAAAGCTGTATGCTTAGATTATCATTAATGGGGGTGAACACAGGTAGGTATTTTAGTGAGTTTCATCTACTCTGAATGCATACACGAATAAATGATGTATGAATAACTCCAAGCACAGAAAAGGGTACACCGATCAGCCATAACTTTATGACCACTGACGTTACCATGGCACCTGTCAGTGGGTGTGATATATTAGACAGCAAGTGAACATTTTGTCCAGAAACAGGAAAAATGGGCAAGCGTAATTATTTGAGTGACTTTGACAAGGGCCAAATTGTGATGGTTAGATGACCGGGTCATCTCCAAAACAGTCTGCAGTGGTCAATATCTGTCAAAAGTGGTCCAAGGAAGTAAAGCTGTGAACCGGCGATAGGGTCAAGGGCAGCCAAGGCTCACTGATGCATGTGGGGTTAACCAGTTGATGATGGTTCTGATAGAAAGGTGTCATAACACACAGAGCATACACAGTGAAGTCCATGCCTCGACAGGTCAGAACTGCTTTAGTGAAAAAGACCAGCACATGGTCATAATGTTATGGCTAATCGTTATAGTTTCCACATGACAGGAGTAATTATACATAAAATATAGATCAAATATACTTTCTTCTCTCTCCATCCTCAGGTTGAAGGAGCAGCATATGTAGGTTCTTTTGTATGGAAGTCTCGTAGCATTGGCATGTGGGACCGTTCTAGAGGACAAAACATGTTGGACAGTGGAGCGCCCTTCTACGATACCTACCAGACTTCAGACGGAAAGTACATGGCTGTGGGTGCCATTGAACCACAGTTCTACAGACAGCTACTTAAGGGTTTGTATTATGCAAATGCGCATTTTAAATCCTCTAAGGTATGATCACTTAAACCTAGTTCACACTACACGATTTTTAGACCGATTTGCCGCTCGACGAGCTTGCCGACCGTCAGGCTGTGATCGGGGGTAAATCAGTGGTCGATCGGTGGTCGCCAGTCATTATGTGTAAACTACACAACGACGTGTCAAAATAGCTCCCCGACACATTTGTGACACATCGCCAACGTCTGCTAGATATCCAGCATGCCAAATATCCATCCTATCCATGCATCCAAAGCACTTACACATCTCAGGATCCACTCTTGCATCAGGGCCCTGTTTCAGAAAGCAGGCTTAACAAAGTGTGATCTGAACGCTGAGCTCTGAGTTAATTGAGCCTGAGATGGGAAAGTCTGAGGTTGCAGAACAGCTGATGAGATTTAATTCATTCAACTCTGAATAGCCCATGTGGAACCTGATGGAAGCGCATGCATGGGGAATGAAAAAAATCCTCATCAATGGAGCTCTGGTACCATGATTCACCATGCCTACAGGTAAATAAAGAGCAGAGCCCCCATTTAATTCCAGTTGCGCTAGAAATATTAATATTGGGCCAACGAGGCCCATGACACTTACCTCAAAAAACAGGAGAGGAGGAAGGAGTCAATAGTTCTGTTACATTTATTCCACTCACTCATCATTTACCAGACTTGAATTTCCTTAATGAACGTTAAAGTGCTGGAATCCTTCTGTATCTTGCACTGAATTTTAAATATATTTATTCAGCTGTGCCGTGACGAGACAAAATACTAGTGGCAATAACTGAAGATGAAAATATGAATCAAACATATAAGACACAGTTTACTCATGGATTTGTGACAGTCTGACCCAGTAATAATGCTTTTCTGACTGTACATTTTTAGACACCTATGTAACATTCAAAATAGTGCTCATCTCGCATTTAATACTGTCAAATCACATTAAGAGCAAAGCTAACAGGCCTATTCAAAAACTTAAACTACATTTCGTATTTCAGCGTTGTTTCAGCTGCACCACAATCATCCTCACTCAGTAATATTCACGTCATGTCCAACATGATAACTATAGGGATGTTCCATCAGTGTGACTAAGTAAGCATGTACAGGTGATTGTTCATTGATCAGTTACAGCTTCATACAGATTAGTGTGATTTAAACAGTGATTACTGCAGTAATGTAGGCCACGGTAAATGTTTCAGTGCAACTGTGTCCAACCTGACAGCTGCCTTAATGACCACAGAGTCACAGTGTTATAATGAAGGACAGTGTAGCCTGTAGATTTTATTCTGATCTGAGGATGAATCCACGATGTCCGGAGATTGCTGACAGATGATCATAAAAGCAGTCAAGTCAAAGATCATGTTTGGGTATCACATATGGAGCTAATGTCTAACCAAGATTTCGATGTTTCTGAAGACTTAAACCTCAAATGAATGCGTCCCGTATGTGCTTTAATATCGACAGTATGAATGAGGAAATTAAATGGTAGGCAGACCTCTTTTATTCCTATGCAGGAGGGGAGGAGTCAGAGAGGAACTCAGAGTTGGTTGAAGAACACCTCCTCCCGAGCAGGATATATTCACAGCCCAAATTACCGGAGCTAATTACAGATCTGAGAAGGCTTTATCTGATCTCAGTCTCTAAGACAGATAACCCAGAGCTTCCCTTATCTCAGGGTTAACAAACTCAGAGCTATCACTATTTCCGCTTTCTGAAACGGGGCCTGAACACTGACAACATTGGTTTTGCAACAAGAAAGCTTTGTCATGCATTACACAATGACAAATGCTAACTGGTAGCATTATAATACAATATCACTATTTTATTTATATATGCGTTTTCATTTATGTATGTATTGTATAATAGAAAAATCACAACACAAAAGAATGGGACCTCAATTCTTACATTGTGTTACAGAAATTAATCAGAAATGCTGGGATATGCTTCAGTAGACTTTATTTTATATGCTGTATAGATTCACTGTATATACATGTATAATTAAGCTATTGATATAAAACTGCAGCATTACCAGTCAACCAGCTCAGTGTCATATGGCGCAATTAGTGGTTTATGCATTTTTATGTAGATTTTCAACATAAATTACGTAAAAATTTTTACAATAGTATATAAACGTGCAAAATGGAGTGTAAATACACAGAGGTTTGGTGGTGGTTGAGTTGGAGTGAGAAAACAATTCATTAAAATAGAAAGTCACTGAATTTGTTCAGTGTCAAATGATGAAAAGTGAGTCACGGTTTAGTCATGTGAGTGTTGTACTGTGTAAAAATGTTTGAAAAAGCAAACTCAGTGTAGAGAAAGCAAAAAAAACAGTAACTTGAAACAAGGGCAGCTCTCTTTGAATAAACAACAACTTTACTCTGAAGATTCAGTCACAATACGTATCAAAGAGAACAACCATGATTGGAGAAAATGGACAGGTGGATTGCGATCGGCTTGTTGGGGACCGCTTCTCTAACATGTTATACAGTTCTCTGTTTTACACCATCAATGTTTGTCCATTGGGTTACAGAAGTCTATTTTCCCTTAGGTTTGGAGTTGGATGCTGGAGAGTTACCTCTTCAGATGAGCTTCACTGATTGGCCAGAACTGAGAAGGATCTTCACAGAACGTTTTGCTACAAAAACCCAGGCGGATTGGTCAAGGATTTTCGATGGCACTGATGCCTGCGTTACACCTGTGTTGTCTTTTGACCAGGTGAGCTCACACCCACATAACCGAGAAAGAGGTTCTTTCATCAAGGGCCCCAGCGGGGAAGAAAGCCCCCGGCCCACCCCGGTTCTCTCTCGGACTCCTGCAGAGCCTTGTCTTGCCTCCGATCCTGTTATTGGAGAACACACAGTAGAGGTCCTACAAGAGTATGGGTTTACTTCACCAGAGATAGACAAGATGCGAGCAGCAGGGGTTGTAGAGTGTAACGCTGTCAAAGCAAAGTTATAGAAGACAAAAAGCTACATAAGATACACAGCACATTTTGGTGATTAGCAGTAAGACCTGCCATTCAAATCATGTCTAACACAACTTTTTAAGAATCAAAGGAAAAGTAGCAAAAGGGAATATGTCTTGTTTTCATGGACTAGAAACTCAAACTGAGAAGCTAAAAGAGGTGGTGAAAAAACATGCAATACTCCATTGCGCCTGAGGAACCTGATGTACGCATCCCACACACTGAGTGTAGGGAAGCCTTGATTGGGCAAGGTGACAGGTCTTCTTATGCACTCTCAGGGTATATGGATGCAGTATGGGTTAGCCAATAGGTCATGGATGTCAATTTGAATAGCTGCCTCCTCTTTTTTAGTGCCACTGCTGTTCTCTGAAAGTGTTAGTTTGAAAGAAAAACAGTCTTAGGAAGTCCTGCTAGTCCTTTACTCACATGGAGGTGTGCTACTTTTCCCAGCTCAGTCAACCTGGTTTCCATGTGCCAAAACAAGTTTGTGTTCACAGATTGAGAATTCAACTGGTGCATCCTGTTTCTCTCTCTCACTGATTAAACACAAAATAGTTTTGCTGTGGCACAAGATAAAGCCAGTAATAAATGAAACACATCATTAAATATTCATTTTAAGGAAATTGTCAATAAACAATACACCCTAAAATACGTTCATTTACATACATTCATGAGTGAATAGAGACGTGAGTTGTTCCAGCCGAAATAGAACAGATGCGTAAAGATGCTTGAGCAGAGAAAATACCTGCCTGGTTTTGTGGTAAATGTTGACCGTACAAAGGTTGTGATGTTCACACATACTGAAAGTGCTACACAAGGAGTTAAGGGAATTAAAGATATACAGTTATTTATCCCACAAATATCAAATTAATTTTATTCATGATAAGCAGCCAGTCCCTAGAGTGATGGAAGTTATTAAATTAGCAGAAAATAATTAAAATACAAGATAAAATACGTGGGGCTTGTTGAGGATTTTTTTATTTGTTTACTCATCAATAACAGTTTGTCCATTGTAATTTATTCAGTCGGTGTCACCTGTACAGCATTTATTCCATCACAACCGAAGGTTTACATGACTGGTTTGAAATGATCAAATGGTTTGAAATTATAAAATGGTTTTAAATGATTAAATTTTCATGCCTAATGATAATAATGATAACTTCATGTAAATCATCTTTCCTTTATATTCATTTGTTGTAACAAGCCACTTTCCACAATGCTTCGTACAGTCTGCATTACCAACATGCATCATGGCCAATCACCTCCAAAACTCACTCAAACCACCAAAACACTTGATACATGTCTCAAAATAATCTCATTCAACCAAACACTGGCAAGAGTACTCACTCAGAATGCGTACATTGTCACTCATAACACACAGACCTAAAAAACACTAACAGCAAGCTTTACACATAAATGATGCATTGTATCTTTGAAGTTTGAATGATTTTTCACATAAATCAGTTTTTCATTATAGAAGAAGAATAACATTTTCACTGTATTAACTGTATTAAAATATGTTACATTGATAACTCAGAAATGCAGAAATTTGCTTTGATATTCCCTGTAGTGTTTATTCCCTGTTTCAGTGCATATAGTAATTGACTTGAAATATAAAAAGTTGAAACAAAAAACTAATTCTGGAAATTTCAGTGCTGCAACACTGTTTTTCTCACTTGTTTCTACAGTAACACTGGTACTGACACACAATGACCACTATCTGTGGTCTGTGTGAGTTCATGGATTTTGGAGAAAGTAGTCACTGAATGCATTTTGCGTGAAAGCAATGAAAATTATTTCAGTTTTGTCCACATACTCTTCAGTTTTTCTGAAGAGTGTGAAGAGTTTTGACAGTGTCACTTCAGTTTTGACCAATGCATGTTAGCAATTGAAAAAAATGTATGAACATTTTGTAAAATAATCACAATAAAATGCAAATATGTCCCCATGCATGAGATGTGTGATAAATATTGTGTGTTATCCCACTATAAACACATGATGTGAAGGAGAGATGACTAGAAACAGGCATTTTGGTAAAAGAACAGTTGGATAATAACTCACTTAGCAGCTGGACACTAAGTCTATGGATTTTAGGTAATAGGATACAGTGCAGCTTTTAGGTTTTTCCATTGTGCACATTGTCATGAGCCAATTTGTTTTAAGCTATATACGTTCAGCATCAAGGATTTCATGGCTTACAGGGATCTTGCTCATCAGGAAACTCAAGTGGTTCTAAAATGTAAAACCACAAAATGTAGCTGTGTGTAAATGGGTTTTTTTATTGGCTGCCTTAAACAAATCAATAAGAGTGCGTGTTACTCGGGTTTAAATTATGAAGCAGCAGAGAGCTGAAATGTGGAGAAAAAAAATAGCCGCAAGGCCCCTAATAACCTCTTATTTCTCCCCCGCAGTGTGGGATGTGTACTGTTTGTCTATGATGGAGAACTACCTGCTGTGTGGTAATTGTTTTAAACACAAATTAACAGGAATTTGCAGCATATCAGATGGAAAGGATCCCTACAAGTGACTCCAGTGGCACACTTTGTTTTTAACCAGTAACAGATCTCATGAGAGGCGAGTGTCAGAGATGGAGAGGGGAGTTTGATGGAGAGAAGAGTTTGTTGTGTTGGAGTAACGTTAGGAAATAACGTCTTGCCAGCAGTGTATGTAGTGGAGCTGCTATTTCCTAACGTTACTCCAGCACAACAAACTCCTCTCCCTCGTTCCCACCGGCGTTTCTTGCAACAAGTGGCCTCATTAGACTGGCCCATGCATGTTAGCTAGGCTTGTCATGTCTCCAACATGCTGCTCTCTGTATTGTGCTGTTTTACATGTTTTCTATGTGGTCACATACTGTTTTACATATAGATTTTGTTCTCTAATTGTTGACTTGGTAGAATCTGGAATTTCAAAGGGCTACTAATAAACAAACATGATAATTTTCTGCCTGTGAAACACATCATTTTTAAAGGTTTCAAAGTCTATTGGGATGAGTAAACTGTATTTTTACTGTTTATTTTTTTGTATCCTAAACTAAGCAGCAAAGTGATGTTTTGATTTGCACTGCAAGATATTTTTGATTCACAGCATGGTTATTGATCATCTGCTTGTCACTTATTGGATGCTAGACTGGTCTATAATGGCTTTTTACAGACTGGCATCTTTCTCACAGTGCAGATGTGCATCATATCACTGCTTGCTAAAGAGACTTCCTCTTATTCTTAACCTTATCCTTTAGCTTCTCCCTCAATCTAACATTAACACAGTTGGCAGCTTTGTTCTCCCATCCATCTTCCATTTGTGATTCATAATTGTAGTATAAAACCTTAAGGCATGCAGGTATGTGAGGAATGTCTTTGATGTGACTGAAACATCTGACTCTCACCGTACCAGGCCAAACACAGGGCAACTGACTGTAAGCATATAGCATGAGATTAGTGCAGGCTTCAAACATGGTTTATTTTATATGTAAAACTGGTTGTGCAGAGCTGTTTTGTTCTACTTAATCTCCATTTCCAACGTACATTAAACATATAGGAGACATAATAAACATAAAGAATTGTTTTAATTGTGGAGGAATAGCTGTAGCTACTGTATATAACATTATTTCAATTTAAATCAAAGTTTTTTTTAGGGATGCAACTTACAGACTAGTTTAATTATCTGCCGATTCTTGTCTCCATTAATAAATGCATTTTGTCTAAATGTCACAAAATTAGTAAAAAGAAAATGCCCTCAAATTCCTGTCAGACATGACAAGGACAAGACATGTGAAAACCTTAAGATATTTTGTTTACTTTCACAAATAACAGAAAAGCATCAACTCCTCACATTTTAAATCAGCAGATGTTTGGCAGTTTTTTTTTTTTTAAATAACTGAAACAATTACATCAATTTTAAAACTGTTTGATGAATTCCTATTGACTAATTGATTAAGTTCATGCTCTGATGAAACAGTACATGAGCTCCCATGTACAAGTTCTATGATGTCAGAAACACACTCGAATCTGCCAGTTGATGTGTACCGTTTATCAGTATGCCCTGACATGTGTGTGCATGTGGATTGTTAATGTGTGCATGACCTTTTCTTTCTGCTCCTTTCCTGAGTGCTCCCACATATCATTTTCTGATCAGCATCTTTCCTCAGCGATCACATGCATTATCACTTGATTACCTTAAAGCGCTGCTGAGGCCGACTATGAAAGAGCCCTTGTGATTTCATGGTTTGACAAAAAAACCTGTCCATCAGGCCAAGTGGTTTGGGGGGAGGGTAGATGCCAAGTGCATGCTAACTCAAAACTTGCGACATCTGGGACATTGTGCTGTGTGATAGAACTGCACATTTCTGAGTGGCCTTTTATTGTGGCCAGTCTAAGGCACACCTGTGCAATACCCATGCTGTCTGATCAGCCTCTTGATGTGCCATACCTGTGAGGTGGATGGATTATCTCGGCAAAGTAGAAGTGCTCACTGACAGAGATTTTGACGAATTTGTGAACAATAGTTAAGAGAAATAGGCCTTTTGTGTATATAGAGAAAGTCTTAGATCTTTGAGTTCAGCTCATGATGAATGGGGGCAAAAACAAAAGTGTTGCATTTATAATTTTGTTCAGTGTATAAAACCAAAATGTCAATGTCATGGTGGTGCTAGAGGAAATGTCATGTGATCTCCAAAGTTGGTAAGATTTGTCCTCTGGGGACCATGACTGTCTGTACAAAATGTAATGGCAATCCATCTAAAACTTGTTGAGATATTTCAGTATGGACCAAAGTGGTGGGTCGGTGCACTGACATTTTCCATCTCTGGAGCCACATAGTGTGGCTATAAAAAAAGAACTGACATGGCAGTTATTGGAAATGGAAATGGCATAGTAATAGGATTGTCTGCCGTGAAAAGGCAGTACTAATACCACTGCCATTTCCAAGCAGAATTATTATCTTCTCTCAGAATTGATGACGACCTCCCTACTTCTGCTTACAGCTCATCCAAAATGCCGTTTTATTATTGGAATTCTGCCTCTTTAATTATGTCCTTATCCCAAAGAATAACAGCTTTCACCCTCAGGTTTACTGTTTTTTATATTGTCATGTTTTATCTACTGAATATATTGTATTATTTGTGTGTGTATGTATCAACCAGCAACTTTGATGTCAGCAAAATAATTTCTCTTTAGAGCTCATTAAAGTGAATCTTGATCTTGAGCAGTTTTGATATTGAGGTCAACTCTCAAGCCAGACTAACACTTCTCAAAATGAAAGTTGTTATTCATGAATGCGATCAAAAGCTTTTTCATTATTCAAACCCTAAAATTTGAGTGTAAGTTTCAATTTGTCAGTTTTGTGAGTGTAATTAGGAGGTTTTTGAATGTGGTTGAACTAATACATTTTCGAAGTGGCCTAGCACAATAGCTGTTGTCAGCAAGGATGGTGTATTGGTGAGGGATGTCCGACCGATTTTGGTGGGCCGCCTGGACAAAAAATGCCAGGGCCGATTTTTTGTCCCAGTCCAGCCCACCAAAATCGGTCGGACATCCCTCACCAATACACCATCCTTGCTGTTCAGGGCTTAGATTAGGGGTTTGACAAACCTCTTAGCCCATGAGACTTGACACTGCACAAATGGTGGGACCATAACAACAAGACAACAATGTATTTTAATAGGCTTAGTATTTGGGGAAAAAAATGTATTGACGAAATAGTTGATAGGGGGGTCTGGGGGTACTCCCCCAGAAGATATTAAACATTAAACACTTAATTTCCTGCATTCTGGAGACATACTTGTATCAACCCTCAGTTTCCCAGACAGTGTTTAAATTAGGCCAAGGCTAGGCCTTAATCTAGAATAGTTAATCACTGCTCAATAAATGGCTTTCTGAAACACAGACCAATTAGAGATTAAGAACACCTGGACTATGAAGTCTGGAACTAAAGTAAACGAGATTAATTTAAAACCACCTGTGCTAGTCTGAATTAGCTGGATTGAGGTTGCCTATAAAACATGGAATAGACCCAGAAATCCTAAAACATAAGGAACTGCAGAAGTAAGTTCAAGGAAAACAATGGCAGTGGAAAAAAAGACCACAATCAAAAAAACTTCAGTGAGCATGAGAAAACTCTTGTAAAGACAATAGTATTAAGACACCCGGTCAATGAAGACAAACAGCACACATCTGCTGTGGAATCAAAGAAAAGGAATGCATGGAAATCCATCTGTAATGAACTTAATGCAAGTGAACAAACATCAACAAGAACAATACAACAGCTTCAGGTAAGAATTGTCAACTTTTATTGCCCTTGATAGCTGTATTTTATCACTGTTTTGTGATATCAATGGATTGACACTACAGTATTATATCCAATACAGGTTTTGTGGAAAGATATAAAAATCAACCTTAAACTGCTGCAGAAGCCCAAAGAGAGAGGTTTAAGACCTGCAAATAAAGATACTGATCAGTTGGATGACTTACTGACAGGAATAATGGAGAACCAGCAACCTTTGGAGAACTGAAGCACTGCAAGGTAATTTACCCTCCATATCCTCAGAAGCTAGGGTGGCAGTGTCTGCCAGTACTGGTCACCAAAACAAGAGTCACAATCCACAAAAAGCTGGCTATTGAATTTCATGAACACAAGTACCTTAAGGAGGAGCATGAAATAGAAATGAAGATGGAGAAAGATGAAACCGTCTCATATCACAACAACGCATGAATCTGAAATAAAATGTTTTATTAAATCATTTTGGGTGTTTTTAATATACCACACAAATACTTTTAAAATATAGTAATTTCCTCATTACATGTGAAAATTTATCAGATCCCAGCAGAAGTGTGAAAAGGTAACGTCAAAAATGACAAAGTGGCACAATGCAAAAGCATCTCTGTTGGCAAGTCCTTCTGTGTTGTCTGTTGTAAATGGTGGTATATCTAGATGGTCATCCTCCTGTATCGGGATCTGGGCATCCATACTGTTTCAGGTAGTTGTGAAGAACGGCTGTTGCAATGATAACAGTGCAGCATCTTTTTGGTTGGAACCAAAGTGTTTTTCGAAGGCACTGAAAGTGACCCTTCCAAACCCCAAACATGCGCTCTACTGGTCCCCTAGTGCGCGAGCCTGGTTGTAGCCCCTTTGCTCAGTAGTTTGTTGGGTGCAATTATGGTGTAAACAGAAGTTCCCATATTCATAGAATTGTCGTTTGCCTGGGTTGCAGCATCAGGGAAGTTTATGTAATGTCTTCTCAATTCACAAATTGCCATGCATACTGAATGATTTTTACATACTGTAGGTTCACTGACACCACAGAAGTCCCCAGTTTCTCTGTGAAAGGTGCCACATGCCAATAAACGTAAAGTAATGAGCACCTGCAGACAAAGTGGTACAGGTCGTCCTCTTTGGGTAACAGATGAAAGCCTGTGTTCAAACGAGGGAAATAAGCTCCACAGCATTTACTTTATGCATTTGAAAACAATCCTGAAAACTAATTTCATCAAAGCATTGCAATGGGTCACTTCTGTCAGCAAGAACTTGGCTAGCTGATGGTATTAGTAGTTCTTCATTGACATACTCCAAGTAATCCATGTGTCTTCTTTAACAAACAACTTTAATCGGAAGTTAAACCTGCCTCCTGGGTGGCTTAATTTAAGCCTCAATTTAGTCCTGAAGTATATCTAATCTTTTCAGTCTAGGACTAGCCTTAATCTCTGTCTGGGAAACCGCCCCTTCATTTCCTGCATTCTGGTGAATTTTTCTACACCAATTCATTGAGGAAATGTCTTTATTCCTGACCACAACGTCTCCATTGACAAAAGAATTTCCCCTCGGGGATCAATAAAGTATTTCTAAGGCTCTCAGGCATTCTGTATGGCTGTCAAATATGTTTCTCCTGTTTTTTATTTTTTTCCATCTTACTGAAGATTTTGAGCATTAAACACTTAATTTCCTGAATTCTGGAGACATTTTCTGCACCAATTTATGGTGGAAATGTCTTTAGTTTTATAAAAGGAAGGACCAAATATAGGTGGCAAGTGATAATTCAGAATATAAAAATATAATAGAATGTAATGTAGTAATCAGTAGCTTATTCGTTTTTTTAGTTTATATCTATTATATATATTTGGCGAATTATTTTTTTTGACCCACAACACACATCGAGCAGAGGGAGAGTGGGACTAGTAAGAGATGTGATTGGGCCAGTCCAATGTCAGTATTGGCCTTATACGATCGTTGCCCATTTTTTATATAATAAATAATTTGACTTGTAGCCGAGACGAGCGCACTGCTCTTCACCAGAGAAAGGAAACTGAAAACAGTTGTGATCAGACAGAAATATCACCACGATTCCACACAAAATTTTCACTTTTAAAGTGCAGCTCAAAGCCGCTTTAGAGGGAATGAAGCATCCTGGAGACGGTGAAACAGTAGTGTCCAGGGACGGCTTGTTCATTAGGGCGACCGGGCGACGCACCGCCAAGGCAAGAGATTTTTCTCAGACCTTCTACCACACCGTTAGTTAGCTGCAGCTGTGACTGTTTTTGACAGACAGTTTGACTCTGAATATCGCTGTCCAATCAGCGTCAAGTTGTGTTCCGTCGAGTCCCGCCTCTTTTCGTGCGAATGCAGTCTAGTTCGCCCAGATCTCTCTCACTGACTTTCATGTAAATACAGTTTATTTTTTTTCGAGCTGCGGCCGCTGCAATGCAATCTCTATGGGTTCCGGAAGAGCTCGCACTGACGTGTTTACGTCATGCACCCAGCAGCAAAGCTACGCTTCTGCCACCTGAAAAGTTTCTCCAGCTTGTTGCTCTCACTACGACCAGCTGCTGTACAAAACGTACGTTTTTATATACAGTCTATGGTTCAGGCTGAAAATTCGACCGTGGTGTTGTGTCGGGAGATGCAGCGACTTTACCAGCGGTGAGTAAGACACAGTATAAATAATACATGTTAATACTAATACATTAGTTAAGCCATGACGAGAGGAAAAGTCCCCTATAGCCACTAGGCTAATTTATGCTCCGTACAATGCCATAGGTTAAGCTAATAATCTTTATAGTTATTATTTAACCCGAATCTGTGCTTATGTTAAATGTGATGCACATGAATCATGCATATCTGTAATAAAAAAAAAAAAAAGACTGGGGGGGTACAGGACCTCGCCGAGTGAAATGGAAAGGATCTAGGGTGACGTGTGTAAAGTGTTCCTTTACGCTCAGCTGCCAATTCCACACCTGCGCAGTGTGTACCATCAGTGGTACGTAACGTGTTGGGCAGTAATAGGCCTACTGCAAAATTACTTTTCCCAGTAAAGAGTAATGTAACGTATTACTACTTTCAAAACAGTTATTATTATATTATTACAGTTACTAATCCATGTAAAGCTGCGCTGCTGAACGCACCATCCCGACGTGAATGCGCGACTGCGCTGCAGCTCAGCGGCACCGGACCTTATGTTTATAAAGTCAGCTGTTAGCCAAGAAACTAAAGGACAACTGGAGAACAGGGAGAGAGAGAGAGAGAGAGGTATTTTCGACAGCTGTAAGTAACGTTATTGCCATTACTGTGTCACAGTCTAAGATGCAAAGGACATTGTCGTCTGTTGTAAACTTTGTGCGACCAGCAAAAAGTTTTCTACCGCGAATAGTTCTACATTTAGCCTATACTTGGGCTAATTGAAGCATCAGCTAAAGCAACACAGCAACCTGAAACTCAGAGAGAAACTCCGGCCGCTACTGCCAGTGATGCTCGGCCTCATCGGGAGAGAGTGCGTTATAATAGGTCACCCATAGTGGTCTAAGTAGAGTAGCTAATATTACTTTTTTAAGGAGTAGGTCTATAGCCTATGCTAAGTAACTAGTAGGTAGGACTAATAATATAAGTAACTTGCCCAACACTGAGTTGACAATAAGGATCAGATAAATTGGGAATGTTTTGATTATTGCTTGTTAGAGGCTATGTCTAATGTTTACTTTGACTTTGTTGTCTAAGTCTTGATCACTCATGTAGCCTATACACTTTGCTGTGTGAGTGGTTGCTTTTTAAGTCGTCCTTATGTTAAAGGTTTTGGCACGTTATTAATTAATTTCTTGTGAATGGTTGTGACAAGGTTTAGGCTATATAAGGCCTTTTCACACGCTCTGCGCTCCTCATCAACAGACAGGCAACAAGCGCTCCGCGAGCTAACCATGGCAACGGCTTCTGTGTAACTGGCGCGATCCCGTTAAACTGTCGCGGTCGTTGTCGTCTCGCACACGCCCGCCCGCTGCCAGAGTTGAAATGTCAAACTTTTTCCTACAGTTTTTAACAGATAGACTCAGCACCAGGTCTTAACAGTCAGGCACCTAAACAGGCAACAACCTTTGCTGCTGTCTCTTATTCATTAAAAATCATCTATTAATTCAATTGAACTAATTTGAAAGTTAGTAGTTACATTATTTAGTATAGACTGAATTATTTCATGTTGCACATTTAGCTGTTGAAGTTTGGTAAAAATGAATACAAAATAATAATTATTATAGAAAGGTTGCGATGGTGCAGTGGATTAGACCCTTGTCTTTGATTCCCACTGCAACACATCCATTAAATAAGTTATTGTCATGGGTCCTGCTTTACCTTCCATGTTAGAGTTTAATCAGGGTGTTGGGGTGGTCTCAGTATATTTTCCTGCTTTTTTGCCCTTTGCCAATCACATACCTGATTAAGCCACGTTTTATGTGTGGTGGTGGAGTCAATTTAAAGTTAGCTGCACTTAACAATTATTTGATGTGTTGTTTTTTCTTTTATTGCCAGAAACCGAAGAAGAAAGACGAGGTAGTACGATGTGGTCACCACTGGCATCTTGTCAGAGGAGGGTAAAAAGGAGAAGTAGAAAGCAACACAGAAAATAAACCAAAAACAATAATATACTTTTTATATTTCCCCTTACATGCCTTGTTGTTTGTGTAAATACTGGCTTTATTCTGGATTTGATGTTCCTAATAAAAGGTTTGTCACAGATAAATCAGATGATTGTGAGAGTCATCCTTTTTTTCATTAAAGCTAAAGTAGGCTAGTTGCCTTTACATCCGAAGGTCTAAAGATCTGTTGATCTTAACTGAGGGCAGTTCATTCATTGTAGACATTGACAATGAACTTCAGTAGCCTATGTAGCTGTTCACAAATATTGTACAGTATGTAGCCTAAGGAAAAATCCTTGTCTTAAAGCAGACGAAGACCATTGAACTGGTCACCTTAGCCATCATCGCACAATTGCCCCCCCTGAGAAATTTGGCAGGAGCCACCACTAGTAGTGTCTCACAGCGAGGGGGACAGACAGCAGCACACAGAGCGTCAGGTGTCATGATATGTTTACTACTTTGCTGCGACTGTCAACCGTTTGTGTTAATACATTGACTAGACACTGACCAACAACATTTATATTTGAATGT